CCCACCCCGTGGGCCTGGTCATGCCCCAGACCCGTCTTTCTCCTCCACTTCTCCATCCTGTCCAGACCTCGTGCACACAGAAACACACAATGGGCATGTTTTTCAAGCCACCAGGGATTTGAGCAGTGTGGCTGGCTGTGGAGGATGCGGCTCCTTTAACCCGCAGTGGGCATGGCTCCCAGTATGGTCTGAAGCCCGCAGGCCTGAATGCTCACAGCAGTGACAGACACACCTTACTCAACACGCAGAACAGTTTTCCTTTTCAGAAGCAGAAATGGGATTGTCCAGGACCTCTGTCCCTCTGTCGTGGTGCACCATGCCACACCCCTGCCACTTCTCTACAACAGATGCTTCCTGGGTTTAACGGTTCAGAAAAGGCTGCACACCTGGGCCTGCCAGGCCCACGCGCTGAGTCAGGCCACACGGCATGCGACTTTGGCACTCTGGCTACCCCGGGAAAAGGCGGCGTGCTGTTCCAGTAACGCCCGGACTGGACATGTGCGAGTCCACGCTGGCGCCGACTGAGCCGAGTGTGCCGTGCTTTCTGGGCTGTTTTCCTGGTTTGAGGTGGAAAGAGCCACTTCTGGGGGTGACTGGGCAGGCGGGGCCCTACCTGTGAGAATCCCGTCCAGCTGGTCCACCATGAGCGTGGCATCTCCTTCCGTGAAGCACATGGGCGGCTTTATCTTCAGCACGTTTCTGTGAGGGCCGTCGGCGCTCAGGAGCACACCTCTCTCTTTCATCCTGTTAGAGCAGGAAGTGCATGGGAGTGCATGTGAGTGTGTGTGTGAGTGCAACAGCAGCCCAGACGGTCTGCAGATGAGGCTCTCGGAGAAATGAGGGGTCTGCACTCAAGAAGCCCACGTTCACTGCTGATGCATCTAGGGCCCCTTTGGAGAGAGGAAAGGCTGTGAAACCAACTCTCCAACGGCGACATCACGGGCAGACGCGGCTGGGTGCGGGCGGGCTTACTGGTAGATGACGTGCTGAGCCTCGGCGGTGGCTGGGGTCCTGTTCTGGTCCTGCACCAGGTCGATGCCAATGAAAAGGCCAATGCCTCTGCCGGAGGTGAGGAAAGGAAGCGTGACACACACTCTGGCAAGACCCGCTTGTCTCGAAAAGTTAATGTGGTCCCAGCATTAGTCTGACTTGAAGCTCAATGGGTCACTGTTGATTCTAACCAATGCAGTACTCCCTATAGTCGCTAGGTTTGGAAACAAGCCGGTTTTTGTCTTTTTTTTTTTTTTTTAATTAGCTATAAAAGAAAAAAGCCTAAAGATGTCCCTTTTATGTCATTTATCATCTCAAAATATTAGTGGTATATGTGTTTATACACACACACACACCTGTGAAAAATATCCAGCTTCCCAGGACAGTATTTTAGACGATTTTCAATGGATCATTTAAGTTACTTTTACTTTATGCTTTTTATCTTTTCATTGCTGATAATATCTTAACATTATGAAGAGGCAAAAAGCATGAAAGTCAGAAAAAATATGTACCCAAATGTTATCAGTGGTGATTTCTGGGTTCTGGATTAAGAATGATGTTTGCCTTTTGCTGTTTGTGTGTGTGTGTGTGAGTGTGTGTGTTTAGCTTTATATATTTGTTTGTTTTGCTATAGAGTACTTAGGCTCACCAGAGAGAGACAGAAAGAGAGAGGGAGAGAAAGTGAGAAATCACCACCCAGGGGGCTGACCATGCCACAGTCCCTTCTCCATTCTCCTCCCAGGATTTGGGGCACACATGCACATGTGTGTGGCTTATTTTTCAAGGCACCAAGTCTGGGACTTGAGTGTCACACTCAGTCATGTGAGATCCAGTTCCTGTAACCACCGTTCTACCAGCTGGCCCAGTGCACTTTATTTCAAATGTTTAAGACTGGGCCGGCTCCGTGGTGTAGCAAGAGAAGCAGGATCTCACGTAACTACCATGGTTTGAATCCCCAACCTGGTTGGCCTGAAATGTGCCAGTTGTGCACTTGAGTATCCACTATCTGACGGGCTAGAGGACAGGAGGGACTGTGGTGCAATCACACCCTGTGAAGGGTGTTCTCTCTTTCTTAGGCATGTTCATGAGCTCTTTTGTGGATAAAGGAGAAAACAAAATAAATGTTTAAAATTTAAGTAATTTAAAAAAATGTATAGCGGGAACCAGCAGTTAGCGTAATGGCTATGTCGCTGGACTCCCATGTAGTTGACCGCGGTTCGCATCCCAGACCCGGTGACTTAAAACTCACGCCGGGCGCATGTGCATGCATGCCCAAGATCCTGAGAGGAGAATGGAGGAGAAGGGATTGCAGCGTGACCATCCCTCCTGGGGGGTGATTTCTTGCTTTCTGTCTCTATGTCTCTCTGTCTGTCTGGCGAGCACATGCACTCTATAGCAAAAATCTCTCCAAAAAAAAAAAAAAAGCATAGCCACATGACAACTTCATGACAAACATACCGAATGTCTCCTATTAGAGGGTGCTTAGCCTTCTGTTTCTGTAGTAACTCGACAAGGTAATTCCCTACTCTGGTGGCATTTCCTTGAAGGTCCTCACTTTCAATGATATCCAGGACAGCCAAACCAACAGCGCAGGACACCGGGTTCCCTCCATACTGCAGAAAGAGACAAGCGAGAACTCTGACTGTTGAGACTGTGATAGTGCCTCATTGAGCACTCTGACTGTTGAGTCTGTGATAGTGCCTCATCGAGAACTCTGACTGTTGAATCTGTGATAGCGCCTCATCGGTGAGAAACCAGCACCTGTGTGCAAAGGGGAGATGCAAATGCAATAAGATGTTCTTTTATAATTCCAGTTTCTCAGATTTAGCATGTAGCACAGTTCTAGTTATTCAGTGTGAAGTAATAATTCATCCCAAATTATATTCTCCATGCTCATTAACTGGTATGAAACTTCCTGGTTCATCCAAATGAAAAACAGATGTTGTGCTGGGTGTTAAGGATTTCAGAGTGTGGTTCAGTGAGGGAACCAGAGGTCTTTGCTCTCGAAGAGCTGTGTGACAACAGCTAAGCAAAGGCGTTCACTCCAAATAATCTACGTCCTTGGGTTCTTATCATAGCTGTTGTGAGTGTGATTATATATACTGCATAAACTACAATGATTTTCCCAAGCTTGCAGCTCATGGAACTAAAACCAAGGAAGTAAAATTTCCCAAAGATACAAAGTTAGTATCTTTATTACAACTATATAGCATTCACAGTACTGAACCATCTAGCTACTTTAAACATGTTGGAATAGAACTATAATACAAAAACAAAAAAAAATCATATAATCTCTTCACCAAAATATTACCACTGGGACCAGTAGGCAGCATAATGTTTATGTAGCTGGATTTCCACATAGTCAACTGCAGTTCAAGTCCTGGACCCAGTGGCTTAAACTCATGCTGGGTGCGTATGCCCAAAATTCCAAGAGAAGAATGGAGAAGGGATTGTGGTGTGGCCATCACCCCTGGAGGGTTATTTCTAGTTTCTGTCTCTCTGGCCAGTGTATAGACCCTATAGCAAAAATAGCTCTCTCTCTCTGAAAAAAAGAAAAAAAAAAAAGAACAACAACAACAACAACAACAAAAACCACCCTCTAGAGTTTAGCAGAGCAGCCATTTCTCATGGAGCAATTTAGGAGGGAGAAAGATAAACAAAAAAAACACAAGGAGCAGATGGAGCGGAGTCTGGGAGAGCCACGTCTGGCCAAGCCAGGCTGGCCTGTGACAATGCTGAGCTCAGAGAGTAGGCACATGCACTGTTTTTCCTCCCAGAATTGAAGCTGGAGGCCAAGATTTACCGTGTTGAAATACTCCATCCCAGAGCTGCTGAAGGCTTCTGCGATTTCTTTGGTCGTCACCACACATGCCATGGGGTGGCCATTGCCCATTGGCTTTCCCATGGTGACAATGTCTGGAATGAAGTCTTCACCATGCATTTGGAAGCTCCAGAAATGTTTCCCAGCTCGGCCAAAGCCGACCTGAACTTCGTCAGCTATAAACACGCCCCCAGCCCCACGGACATACCTGCAAAGTAAAGGCATGGTCTGACGCCTTCTCACCCAAGAGTCCCCAGACCCATCCACCAAGATCCAGACTACTGAAGACAGAGCAATGTGTTAACCTGGGTCTTAGTTTTTGTTGATCACATTCAGTACTTCAACCCCGCGTGGAGCTCTGTGACTTGACAGTGTAACCACAGACTTTCTAGCTTAGGCACATCCATGTCATTTGGGTTTGTACTGTGGCACTTTAAGTCAAAGAAAAATAATTGCACGAGTGGGTTTTTGCAGATTTGATCTTCAGATGTGTAGTAACTGGGAAGATTTGGGGACTAGCCAGTCAGAGAGGTGTCAGACTGGGGCCTTCCAGGTCATGTGTAAACCCTTTATTGCTGGCTCTTGGGAAGGCTGAGGAGTACCTACAGCCCGGGGCTGGCAGGAGTGGCTCTGCACCGCCAGCCTCAGCAAACAGAGCAGCCCTACAGGGTGCTCCCAGTGCCTCACCTTGACCCAGCATGCCCAAGTCAGTACATACTCTGCCACTTTCTGGAAGTAGCCTGCTGGAGGGATTATTTGTCCACCACAGCTCTGCATGGATTCGGCAATAAATGCAGCGATCTACAAAAGAGAAGACAGGTGCGAGTCCATTAGGCTCCCTCCTCCCTGCAAGAGTCTGACAGAGCTGGCTGTCTCAGAACGGCTACCGGTAGGCCTATGGCGAGTGGCAGACAGGCCGTTGACGTCTTCAACATCACCCTTGTTCCAAGGGCAGCACCAAGCCCAGGGGCGTGGGGAAAGCAGGCTTGGAACGTGCCCCAGGTGTCTTGTCCTGCGCCGGGCTCAGCCCAACGGTCAGGCAATTGGTGACAGCCACCACAGAGTGTGCTCCAGGGGCTCGGAGAGAAGGTGGGACAGAGGGGCCGACAGGAGCAGAAAGTGCCAGGAGCACGACTTCAGAAACCAGAAGAGCAGGGTTCTACGACAGTTCAGATCACCCCGTGACTGCGTTGCTCTGAGTTAAACGCTTTTACTTTTTTTAAATTGTTATCATTTATTTTTAGTTTGACTGTAGAGAGAGACAGACAGAAAAGCAAAATGAGAGAGCAAGCTGCCAGGTCCGGGACTCACACCAGAGTTGGCCCTGTGGGAGTCTAGTACCTTAACCTCCATGCCACCTGCCAGCCCCAATCTTTTTTTGTTTTCCTTAGTTTCTTAGCTATGGAACAAAGTTGTTGGCAAGATTCCTCCTCTAAAGCTCCATGACTTTTCAAACGCACCTACTAGTCTGAAGGGCCCTTCCTCTATTCTCTCATTGCCTTCATCATTATTTAATTTAATTTAATTTATTTTTTAAGAGAGAGGTTTTGGCTATAGGATGCGTGCACTCACTGGAGAGACAGAAAGAGGTAGATGGATCACCCCTTCCCCTGAAAGGGATGGCCACACTGCAATCCCTTCTCCTCCACTCTCCTCTCGGGATCTTGAGCACGCTCACACATGTGCCTGGTGTGTTTTAAGCTACCAGATCCAGGTCTTGAACCACGGTTGACTACATGGGAGTCCAGCAATATAACTGTTATGCCCTCTGCTGGTTCCCTTCAGCATTAATTTTGGTTTTGTTTTTTAGATTTTTGCCATAGGGCACATGAGGTCACTGAAGAGACAGAATGTGAGAGGTTACTCCCCAGGGGGATGGCCATGCCAAAATCCCTTCTCATCTATCCTCTTCTTGGGATTTTGGGCACACATGCACATGTACCTGGCATGATTTTCAAACCTACAGACCTGGGACTCACACCGTTGTTGGCCATGTGGGAATCCAGTGCCTTAACGACTGTGCCACCTGCTGGCCCCCACAGCATAACTTTTGTTATTTATTTCACAAGTGAGAAACAGGGAGTGTGCGGGAGAGATACAGCACTCCCGACAAGGACCTGAGGCCACGATGCACCCCAGCTCCAGCCAGCCTGGGTCCGCGCACACACCTGGGACTCACACCGTAGTTGGCCATGTGGGAATCCAGTGCCTTAACGACTGTGCCACCTGCTGGCCCCCACAGCATAACTTTTGTTATTTATTTCACAAGTGAGAAACAGGGAGTGTGCGGGAGAGATACAGCACTCCCGACAAGGACCTGAGGCCACGATGCACCCCAGCTCCAGCCAGCCTGGGTCCGCGCACACGTGTACACGGCATATGGGGGTGGGGGGGTCTCTGGACTCAAACTGGCAACCTTCCCTCATGTATTTCCCTGATGGCTGCGTTTTTACTGCCGTGCAGCGCCGTCAGGCCCCTGCTCTCAGCATTAACACGCCAGTTTTGTTCCAGTAACTATTGAATGCTAATATTCTCGAAAAATTACCCAACCCTTAGCAGCTGAGTCCGGACTTGATCCTGTTAGCGTAAACCTTCCCCAGAGAGCATCATCTACTGTCTGTGTGGGAGGGAGAGGCTGTGTCAAGGAAGACGAAGCCCCAGGGCTGGGGAGAGCCATGCAGAAACTCACAGGAGAGGGCGTGGGAGCGGACGGTTGGGGAAGGAAAGAGAAACGGCTAAGGAACATGAATGGCTGCATTATGAAGGCAAAAATACTCGGGTTAATTGGAAAAAGCAACTTCTTTCAAATTATAACTTCTAAAAAATTTGCCACGTCTACACCATTAACCAGTTTAGGGCAAAGTTCTGTCAGGTTGCATTAGTAAATTCACTGTAGTGACCCTCAGACGGGCTGAGGATTGAACATTAAGCTGAGGACAGCCAAAGACTGGGAAGGTGAAAACCTGGTTCCCTTGCTCTCAAGGGTTCTGGTTCTGTCTAAGGTCAGGCCGAACCAGAAGAACACTTTTCCGCTGGCGTAGGCAGCTGCTGACCAACACCCAGCTCCACGCTTTAGGGATGCTGAGCCAGTTCAAGGGACGTGCCCAGGCCCCCATCGGATGGGACATCTGGGCTGGGCCACGCAGCTCCCCTCTCCTTCACGCACATTAACCCCTGGCGTGACTCAGTTGAAACGTCTGTCCCCGAGCTTGTCCCTCCCCTAGTTCTCTCTTCTCCTGCCCTCTGGACCAGCCCCGCACACTGGGAGGAGTGGGAATCAGCCCCTGGGTTTGCAGCGCCCACAGCGATCGTACTTCCAGGATGAACGGAGGCAGGCAGTCTTTGGGCTGGCCTCAGTAGTGCCTTGTTGGAAACACGAACCGGGGGAATGGAACTGGGGAAGCACAGATGGGACTTGAGAGCCGGTCCTTTGCCATCTCTTTAGTGAGTGCTGTGGTCCTGGCCCGTTTCACAAGCCATGGCAACATGTTCCAAAGCGGTAAGTACTGACCTTCCTCCCCCGGCCCTGAGCCTCTTCAATGATCGTCTTCACTTCATCGGCGTAGGCCCCGGCGGGGTCAGCGTGGTCCTCTCGGAATGGGCCTCTGTACGTGTCTGGAGCTGGTGCCTGGAGGCGTGAAGAAGCGTGGTGTCTGGTTATTTGCGTGTTCGTGAACTTGAACGAAAGGTCTTCCCACCAGGCACGTCGGAAAGCGACTGTGTGGATGAAGGGTTGCTGGGTCCTGCCTACTTCTCCCTGAAAGCTCTGGATCCCGTGAAGAACTGACTTGTCTGAACTCCGAAAGGGGCTTGCCCTGACACCCTGATGCCCGGGTCACATGAACAGTAAATTCACGTATTTTCTGGGAATGCCAATGAACGGAGACTGTGCTAACGGTCCCACATCTAAAACGAACCAGCACGAAGCAGCGCTGTCACAAGTTATAATTATTCGGACTTAAATTATTATTAGCACTGACTTCGAAATCTTAAGCTCTTAAAAGAAGGCATTGATGATTCTCTTAGAAAGTCTACAGATCTTTGGGACCAGCAGGTGACATGGTGGTTAAGAGTGCTGGACTCCCGCGTGACTGACCAAGGTTTGAGCCCCAGATCTGGTGGCTTGCTTTCTCACTTTCCCTCTCTTTCTCTCTCTCTCTCTCTTTTTTTTTTTTTTGGAGAGATTTTCACTGTAGGGTGCGTGCACTCGCCAGACAGACAGAGAGAGACATAGAGACAGAAAGCAAGAAATCACCCCCCAGGGGGGATGGTCACGCCGCAATCCCTTCTCCTCCATTCTCCTCTCGGGATCTTGGGCACGCACGCACACGCACCCGGCGTGAGTTTAAGCCACCGGGTCCGGGACACGAACCGCGGTCGACTATGTGGGAGTCCAGCGACATAGTCATTACGCTAACTGCTGGTTCCCCTCTTTCTCTCTCTTGCTCTGTCCCTCTATGGTCTAATTAATATAAGTAAGTAAATAAATAAAGTTAAATAAAATAATTCTTTTCAAAGAAAAAGCCTACAGATCCTTAGTTAATGTGAACGCCTAGGCTGGCCCATAGCAGTGATGAAGCCCGGTGGCTTTATTTTCGCTCTCTGTCCCGTTATGCATGTGCCCTATAGCAAAACAAACTACAAAAACACCAAATGAATTTTACTGTTTTACCAGTGTAGAAGAGTCTTTAGTCCACTTAATGAATCTATGTAATCATTTAGCACAGAGAAGTACATTTTTTTTTTTGCTATGGGGCACGTGTGCTGGCCAGAAAGACAGAGAGACAGAGAGACAGAAAGCAAGAAATCACCCCCCAGGGGGAATGGCCATGCCACAATCTCATCTCCTCCATTCTCTCGGGATCTTGGGCACACACGCACGTGTGCCTGGGGCGATTTTCAACCACCAGGTCTGGGACTTGAACCATGGTCGACTACATGGGAGCCCAGAGACATAGCCATTATGCCACCTGCTGGTCCAGAGCAATTAAGTTTTAGGAGACTCTTACTTCAACTCTGAATTTCTAGTTGGCATCAGAGAAGAAACGAACGTACCATCAGCGAGCTGGGAAGCCAGCGCGGCGCACGGCGGCCACAAGCCTTCACCGCACTGACTGCCGCCACCCGCCTTCCCACGGACGGGAGACCAGTCTGCCGCGGCCTCACCCATCACAGACCACACTCCATCCTGCTTTCTTCTCGGGTTCACGCGGGTGAAAGCTTTGGGCTGGATTCTCGCAAGGCTTCCTTCCAGTATTAACCTCTGACTCCGGGACTCTGAGACTTACCACGTGCACAAATTCCTTCTTGGCATCTTTGCCGTTCAGAAATTTGTAGGGACTAATCTCAATCAAAGACGTGAGGTGACCATGGTAAGCGCTGGAAAGAGAGAACAGAAACCGAAGTCACCCCGGACGGCTGCGTCTAGTACATGAGAAGCCATGTCTCAGGGCGTCCGCGTCCAGGGAGATCTGAGCGCCGTGCCAGATCACATCACACAGGGTCCACGGAGTCCAGGTCTCCCCAGCCTGGCCAGCGGTGTCTGTCCGGGCCTCCTGACGTGTGTAGTAAACACGCAGAGCCAGGTGTGTGGCCACATAGGGAATTTCTTCCTAAGTAGGGAAAATACTTACTTGGATCATATTGCTCAATTAGATGGTCTCAATGCAAGAACTGTTTTCTATCTTCATGCAAAGCTTCACATGTATGCATTTTTAAACGTGTTACAGGTTTAAAGTCTAGTAGATTTAGCCAAGTTCATGTCCCAGAATGACTGTTTCTGTCCAGGATGATTTCTAAAGGTTGTCAAATTGCAAATACCCAGCAAGTCTTAGCTGGGAAGGAACAGAGATCTCCTTAAGGAGAATTCAGACTGAGAAGTGGTTAAAGAGGAAGAACTTGCCCTGCCTTACTGCGAGGCGTGCTGCAAAGCCCCGGGCAGACAGTTGGTGTGATCCTGGGAGAGAGCGAGGAGGTGAGGACAGCCACTTAGCTACACAAACGGTGACGAAATGGATGAATGGTGACGGGTTTGGTAAGAAGTAATTCTAAAGCTCCTTGAAAACCGCACAACAGCTTTGTGATCTGGAGGGTGAGATGGGTGTTGGGGACAGCGAGTAACACACCAAAATATGCATAAGATGAAGTCCGTGCTTAGGGACTGGCAGATGGCATAACGGTTATGGTGCTGGACTCCCACGTAGTCGCCCGCGGTTCACGTTCCGGCAGCTTAAACTCATGCTGAGCACGCGTGCATGCCTGCTCCAACATGCAAGATGAGAATGGAGAAGGGATTGCGGTGTGGCCATCCCCCCTGGTGGGTGATTTCTCACTTTCTGTCTCTCTCTGTCTTTCTGGTAAGCTCATGCACCCTATAGCAAAAATTTCTCAAAAAAATTTGATGTGTGCCTGTTTTATTTTATAAAAAGTAAAGATTCCCATTAATATAAGGACGCTGTTGGCACAGGGTTCCGAAACGCTGATTGCGAAAGCTGCGGGAAGACATTTAGAAACTTATACGGAACTCTGAGGACAGTGTGCACAGACTTAGGTTGGGAAAAGATGTTTGAAATGTCTCAGACTGGGCCAACAAGGTGGCGTACGGTTAAGGTGGCTAGATCCCACATGGCCGACTAGTGGTTTGAGTCCTGGATCCAGAGCCTCAAATATATGCCAGGCTTATGCACGTGCCCAAACCCGGAGAGGAGAATGGAAGAGAAGGGGTTATGTGTGGGCACTCCTCCTGAGGCTGCTTTCTCACTCCTCGCCTCTGTCTGGTAAGTGTCCACACACGGTAAAGCAAAACAAAAACAAACAAAACAGAAAAAATAAAAGAAAGAAAACTAGTGGATCTGAGATGTGCTGTGGGTGTAAAACACATTTGATTTTGAAGACTTAAGAGGAAGCAAACTGTCTCCTGTCCCTTACACCGGGCTGCGTGTGCAGGACAACTCCGGGACCTCCGGGAGCCCGCCGGGCTTACGCCGCACTCCCACGGGCAGCACTGAGTGAGGGGAGCGGAATGGGACAGCCCGGCCACCTGGCGTCTGGCATCACAGACTGAGGACGCGGAAGGCAGGGACGGGGAGAGGACAGCGCTGCTGTCAGGTGGACACCGATGCCCACGTCCCGGAAGCATGGATAAGACGTGGGTGACTTCGAGGAGTCTGTGGGTATGCGCCGTCCAAGTCTGAGCTTATCTCAGTGCAAGACACCTTGAAATCCACACGTAGATAGCAACGATACGCATGACAACACCGTCCGCCACATGGAACGACAGGATCCCACAGCAGGGCACAGGACGAAGCTCCTGTCCAATGCCACCCTCTGCATTCTGGCATAAAATGCGGCAGGTTTGAGTCGGAGAGCCCAGGCTACAGAGTGGCTTTTGGTAATCATGAGCCAATGAGAAAACACTAAGCTATCTTTATCCCGATGATTCACTTTATTCTAGTTATTAATTATTATTGGCATTTAACATGCTGTGGGTTATGTGCACTCATGAGGAGGGCGAGAGAGTGAGAAAAGAAGCCTCCAGGTCCGGGACTCCAACTGCAGTCGGCCATGGGGCAGTCTGGCACCTTAAGCACCATGCCGCCCACTGGCCCCAGAGCACTAAGTTTTACTTGGTGGTTATTTTTTTTGGAAAATTTCCTGCAACGTGTTAAAAAGAATGTTCCTTACATGCAGGAGCAGCTCAGTGAACAGGGATGTGTGAAACTCAGCCCCGAGTCATGCAAAGCTCTGAAGCTGCAGACACTACGGCACCCCAAAGAGCCCCCCTTGTTTGCAGGAATGTAAAAGAAATAAAGTATCCTCTGACATGAGTTGGCTTTGATGCTGAACACATTGTTTAAAACATTATTCTATAGATTCCCCCTCCATAGCACTTGTGGTACCAGTACAGACAGAATCCACGTGGCAGGTTGTTGGGGGAGTCGGGACGTAGTTTTCTAGCTTCTCTGTACAAAAATGGGTCATGACTTTCCCGAGGACCCAAGAATTCCCTCTCTAGAGGAGCAACTTGCTTAGAAACCTACAGCCACACTTACTGGTCGAGCGTGATCACGTCTTGGTGGCCTCTGAACTGCCGAGCCAGGCGTAGGGCTAGGTCGTTGGCCTCGGACCTAATGAAGACAACACAGTGGAGAGGACACTTGACACAGGGTTCCAAATGCTGATTACGAATGCTGCGAGAAGACATTCAGAAACCCATACGGGACTCTGAAGTCCCCCTGCTCCTCCCTCTGGCCTGCCCTGCAACCTCACCCCCCTTCTAGCACGCGTGCCCTAGCGTTTTCAGTGAAGAACGAGACAGAAGAAACCTGAAACAGCTAGGGTGCACTGCCCAGCCCGGCCTCGTCAGATGACCAGCCTGGAGGACGCTGGGAAGCCTGCGTGAAGCCTGACCGCAGCAGGACACCAGGAGGCGCAGGCCTGCCTGCGTGGCCACCTGCCTCTGCTGCACTGGCCCCGTATCTGATGAGCGCCCTGTATATGAAATGAGGAATATACACATACTTGAATTTACAGTCCTTGAGAGCTGGGTGTCTATTTGCTTACATTTCCTTCTTCCTTTCCTCCTTGTATTTGTGCTGCTTACTTAAGGAAGCGACCAGCCCCCTAGCTGGCACGGCCTGCACTAGTTAACACGCATAGGCCCATGGGTGCCGAGCCCCTTCTCCTCTCCTGGAGAGCCAGGCCTCAGCAGACAAGTTAGGTTCAGAGTTGCGTGATCTGGTGGGGAGTCAGAGAGGTGAACGTGTCAGGTGTGCCCAGAGCCAGAGAGGAGGGTGAGCGTGTCAGGGTGGCCCAGAGCCAGAGAGGAGGGTGAGCGTGTCAGGTGTGGTCAGACGGCAGCCCTCCAGGCCCCCGCGAACCCCAAGGGAAGGTGAACGTGGGAGCGGCAGAGCCAGCGCAGGTGGCGGGCAGCCGGGCACCCACCCGGAGTTGGTGAAGTAGCACACAGAGAGCCCGGGCGGCAGTGTCGCTGTGAGGCGCCTGGCGTACTCCACGATGTTGTCGTGCAGGAACCTGGAGTTGGTGTTGAGCACCTCCATCTGCTTCAGGGCCGCCTGCACCACTCCGGGGTGACAGTGCCCCACTGCCGTGCAGAGACAGAAGCCCAAGAGGTAAGTTAGAGTCTAAGTGACTGCCAGGTGGGGGGAAAGAGGCGACTTCCCTTCCAGTCCACATTTGGTGGCAATGTTCCAGGTGGCCACTGCCGCCGTCCAGCGCAGGGACTGGGGGTGGCGGGACACTCCTCTGGAGGCAGCCGAGCCCAGGCGGCCTGGCTGCGTTGTTGTCCCTCCCACGAGGTGCCAAGGACGAGCGCTCACCGTGGGCGACGTTGTTGATGCAGTCCAGGTACTGCGCGCCCTTCTCGTCGAACATGTACTGGCCACGGGCACGCACGATTTTGATGGGGTCCGCAGGGAAGAACACTTTGCATGAGGGCCTGGAAGGGTCACAGGACGTTCTCTGTCTGGGGTGCTTCTCTGCAGCGTCCCTCCTCCGTGAGGGGCACCCTCGGTGGAGAATTAAGTGATAGGAAGGGAGGGAAGGCACACCGGCACGCGCTGGGACTCGTCTTCATCTTCCACCTCCGTCAGCCTGGACCCTGTCCCTGGAACCCCGTCTCCACCGCCCACGTAGCTCGCCCTCGGCCCCGGAGTGCGTGCCGACTGCGCAGCCTGTGAGCGGATCAGCTCTCTGCTGGCTCTACCCTCGCCAGGACCTCGGTCCCCTCTGCTTTGCTGGAGAACGATAACCACAATGGCCCATGTGAAGTCTGAGCTCTGCTCCTGGCTACGAGGAGGGCTTTCTTTGGATTTAAATTGTAGGTATAAATTAATAGCTGAGCTTGAACTGGTGGGAAATTCTCATTAGCTATTGCTTGCAGTTCCTCTGATGGTGCTTAAAATCATCACCTATGTGTAAACACCTTAAGCAATTTAAAAACTGGGGAGATGGGCCAGCAGCAGGTGTGGTGGTTAAGGGTGCTAGAGTCCCAGTGGCCGACTGTGGTTCAAGTCCTGGACCTGGGGCTTGCTCTCACTTTCTCTCTCTCTGGTCAAATTGAAATAAACAAATGAATAAATAAATGAATAAAATGAAATGAAAATAATTGGTTTAATTGGGGAGAAAGGGAGAGATGAAGAGGAGGAGATTGTGGCATGGCCATCCCCCATGGGGTGCTTCCTCATTGTCCCTCTCTCTTTCTCTGTTTCTGACTAGCACACACACCCTCTAGGGGAAAAAAAAGCAAAACAAAAAAAATCCAAACCAGTTTTTATACCATAGCCCAAGATAGGCTTTTCTCACTGTCCTCTAAGCTAATTCATAAAGAAGTGAATGGAATTCAGATTCAAATACAGGGGCCAGCAGACAGTGTAGTGGTTACGGCACTGGACTCCCACATGGCCGACCAAGTTAGAGTCCTGGATCTGGTGACTGGAGACTCACAATGGACATCTGTGTGCCCAAAATCCCAGGAGGAGAGTGGAGAAGAAGGGATTGTGGCATGGCCGTGCCCCCTGGGGTTGATCTCTCACTTTCCCTCTCACTGCCTCTCTCTGTCTCTCTGGCAAGCACATGCATCCTATGGCAAAAAACTTAAAAAAATTAAATATGAGGGACCAGCAGTTAGCATAATGGCTATGTCACTGGACTCCCACATAGTCGACCGTGGTTCGCGTCCTGGACCTGGTGGCTTAAAACTCACACTGGGCGCGTGTGTGTGCATGCCCAAGATCCCGAGAGGAGAATGGAGGAGAAGGGATTGCGGCGTGACCATCCCCCCTGGGGGGTGATTTCTCTCTGTCTGTCTGGCGAGCGCACACGCCCTATAGTGAAAACCTCTCAAAAAAAAAAAAATATATATAATGCACTCTATCAATAGAACATAGGACAAGAAAGTCCCGTACGGTCGTCTGTGGGGACGTGGAAAGGCACTGCCAGCCCAACACTAGTTCATGATAAAGCGGAAGCAAACAGCAAAGCACAAGGAAACACTCCGAGGCACAGGCAGGGACTTCCTCAGCATAGTGGGCACTACCTGCGACACCTACAAGGGACGACTCTAATTATTTCTTTTTTTACTTTTTAGAGAGAACGTTGTGCCCTCACCAGAGAGGCAGGAAGTGAGAAATCACCCCCGGGGCGATGGCCACACCACAATCCCTTCTCTGTTCTCCTCTTGGCATTTTGGGCACACACGCACACGGCCCTAGCGTGAGTTTCAAGCTGCTGGAAGGGGGGCTTGAACTGCGCTGTATCATGTCCAGGACCTTAACCACCACACCACCTGCTGGCCCCACAGATGTTTTTAAACATGCTCAAATGAATCGCACACAATGAGAGCTTAGCTATTAAATTATAGCGGCGAGTTCAACCCAAGAAGCCCTGTTTACGAAAGCTGCATCCCTCATTTTTGTGTTCTAACCTACTTCCCGCTGTGCCCTGGGCTGAGGGGTGTTCCTCCAGACAGGGCGCTTTTGTTTCTTCTTTCCCAGAATTCGGTCTGCTCAGTTAGAACCCTCCCTGGAATCTAGCTGCACAGCACAGGGTCGAAAACTACCCTAAGGGTTGGTGAGAAGTGGAGCGGCGATTGGCTGCTGGGCCAGAAACTTGACATAAGGGATTGTGGCGTTTGGACTTCACTGGGGTGGAGAGGGCGACCTGGTCTAAGCTACGCTCCCTGGAGGACAGGAGGAGCCTCTGCTGGCCCGGGTCCATCCCCCTGCCGCGGGGCGCCCAGCTAACCGCCTGTCAGTACGAGGGGTTGGGGGCCCGCTGCGGCAGCGGCGGGCGGTGCTCTTACAGGTTCCGATCCCATAACCGCCAGGGAACCGCACTGCGCTCACTCTGGCGGAGGTGAATGCTAGCCCCACTCTGATAGGAAATCACTTTGCTAGAGGCCGCACGGTGACAGGACCCAGCGTGGAGCGGCCTCCACCGGCCTCTGCTCGCCAAGTCGCCACAGCACGGGCAGAGGAGGCTGGGACGGACACGGCGTTTTCGAACCTAAGGGAGGGCTCACTAGGGACCCCGTGCTTCGCCGGGCCCTTCTAGCTGAAGGTGCCACCACGTTTTCCAACCGGCTGGATGAACCCTTTACCAAGCGCGCGCGAAGGCTAGCTGTAAACAGGGGCGTCAGGGTTCGCGTGTTTCCATCTCCACCGTCAAAATGCCTCAGTTCGGTTTCCAGAAAGGGTCGAGCTGGGTGGGAGTGGCGGAGAGCTCGCCAGCACGGGTCCCTGGGACCGCGCCCTACCGCCGGGGCTCTCCGCCCTCGCTGCCCGCCGCCCCGCAGAGGGAGAGGGTCAGGGCGAGAGGGCATCGGAGCCTGCGCCTCGCGGGAGCACGCGCTCCGACCGGGTGCGGATTTGGGAGCGCGGGGCGCGGTGGGGGGGGCGCTGCGGACAGCCGGACAGCGGGGCGCCGCTGCGGGCGGGACCGGCGGGGCGCCGTGGCTGCAGGTGCTGGGGCGCAGGCTGTGAAGCGTGC